GACCATATGTTAGGGATGTTGCCGTTTTCTCCACTAGGTGACACAGTGACATGGTGAAAGAGATAGCACTCTCAAGTACTTCCAATTGGAAGAGTACATCTGAGAATCAGTCAGCAGCATTGCAGCTAGCACTATAGATACCTTGAAGCTGGAATCTACCCAGTATTGAGTGCTGCTGTCTGCCAAGAGGAACATCATTTTGTAGTTCACAAAAAGGCACCGTGTAGGCTTGCAAGTTCTAAGAACAACTCAATGTGCTAACGGTTGTTTCTGAGCAAGGATTCTGGATCAACTAGGAGCCTATTATGCGCAGTCTTACACACAAACTTCAGAGCCAGATGTGTGTCAGAACAGCCTCCTGAGAGTGACAGGCCTAAAGACACTGTGCTCAAGGTGAGCACAACTTCCAGTGAGGGGATCACCCTTGGTTCATTTCTCTGGATCAGCAGGTAGATTCCCAGGTATGAGGGTCAGAACATTGGGGCCACTCATTTTTTTCTGAACTCTCACTTGGTACTGTCTGGATGTTTCCTCTTGCGACTGACTTTCAAATTTCTGGGATATCTTAAGCACTCCAAGGGGATCTAAGAAAACCCAAGACAGACCTGAAGAGTTTAGGCCATTTCTAGATGAGTAAACCAAAGCTCCGAAACTTTCCAAACTCCTTAATAGTCTTTGAATCTCTCCTTATTTGGTCAAGAGTTTCCAATGATGTATGGGGCCTGATACCTCTGCCAGCCTTTGGGTTACCACCACAGCTTTTAAAAATTATTGTACAACAAAATTCCTCTGACAATAATAGTAACAATATCAATAGTAACTAAGATGAAAATGATAACTGGTAGCTATATTGGCTCCTGGCAATTTGTATAATCTTTATTTTCAAATTCTAAAAATTGTCCAGAGTGGGTATTATTATTACCCATTTTAGCATATAGAAAATTGAGATTTAAAGGGTCTTATTTACTGGATTAAAAAAAAAATCCAATAGGAATTCCTGTATTTGAACTTAGGTCTGTTTGTTTCTCAAGACCTTGCTCATAAGTTCATGCTGACTCAACCAAGGGCTTCTTCCTACAACCTTCTATAATAATGTTTCAAGCCCTCTATTTTAACCTCTTCAAAATCACCTAAGCATTCCACTATGTAAATTGGCAAAGTTTTTGGAGTGTGATCTTTTGATTTTATGGTTATGATTCACATGGGACCTGTCATGTCATAGTGCACTAGAATGTTTCAGTGCAAAGAGCCCTTGGAGGCCACTAAGCTCAACTTGAAGCTCAGAAAACCAAGGACAAAGATCCTCTTTTGGTCCATTCCATCTCATCCAAATTTCACTATTTGAACTTTTATAGGATCATCTCCTCAGGGCAAGAACTTGGGTTTTTGTTCAGTTTTATAGATTATTCTATGTCTTAATACTACAAATTATAGATCATAGTAAAAATAAAAACAGCATTTTTACACCAAGATGAACACTGTGGTTGACTAGACCCTGAACAAACAACAGACTTCACTAAGGAGGTCTAATTGGTTCTGTTTTCACCTAATTGAAAAGTTGAAGAACAATGTCCGTTTTTGTTTTGTTTTGTTTTGTTTTGTTTTGTTTGTTTTGTTTTTAAGATCACACACACAGGCATACATTTATATGAGCAATTTTTTTTCACATTTTTGTGATAGCCAATGTGTGATGAATTGTCTATGGAATTATAACCTCATGAAAAGAGATCACCATTTTTCTGCTGAGACGACTTTAACTGCATTGGGTGTGAATGGTGCTGCTATAATAATTAAATCTAAAATCTTTCTTAATCCTACACTTTCCCTAGAGTAATGTTCAGCATTAGCCAAGGATGAAAATGCAAACAAGTACATGTATATTCAATAATAAAGCTTAATAGGTCAGGGAAGAAGTGGAATGAAATGAATGCCTAGTGCCTCCAGAGATAACTAATAGCAATTTGCCTTCCTAGTTACTTCTTTGACTTATGTTTACTGGGACTTAAATATATGCATCAGATTTTCCTTTATTAACAACCAAATCCATACCAAGCTTGTTGCATGGTGGGGGCGGAGTAGAGGGAGGTTTTTTAATGTCAATCACTGTGTAGATTGGCTGCCTATTTCCAGAATTGTACGTTGGAGTGCATTTCATCTCCATGTTAAAAGTAATATAATGTTGATTGGAGAGTAAAATAACTGCTGAGTTCAGAACTCTGTGCTATGACTCTGGATGTGCTACTTCTACCTGAAGGAGAGAAACCTGAAGACCACAAGCATATTTCTACATCTGGTCTCGAGATGCCCTTAGACATTTCCCAAGTCATCATGGATTACCTTCAGACTGTTCAGAAAATTAAAAGGAGAGGAGCAAAGGCATACAGAAACTTCTGCTTCTGATTACTTGTTAATAGTATTAATGAAGTTCATTATTTCCAACTGAGATATCTTTCCAAACTAATGGTGCCCCGCATTATTAGTTTTGTGCTTTCATAAAGCACTTTCACATGCATTAGCTCTTGTTATGCTCACCACCACCCACCTGTGATGGAACCAAAGTATTATCCCATTGAAGAGATGAGGGACACAGATGAACCTCAGAGCTGGTAAATTACCCCAGATATTGGGGTTTATGATTAGCCAGCAATTGAATCCCAATGTTTTGACTCCATGCTAATATGTTTTGTGAGGTTTTTGTTGTTGCTGTCAATTTTATTGAATATACCATCTTTTATAAGTTGTACCCTCTAGGAAAACCTTGTATACTCCCAATTCTGGCTGGAGATGATCTAGGTTCCATGTTTGCCTCCTTGATTTCTAGCTGTCTGTTCACAAGCAAGCCTGTTAATCTCTCTAAACCTCAGAGTCTCCATCTGAAAAATGCAGCTGTAACACCATCTCCTTCATAGAAGTATTGTGAGGACCAAGTTCCATGCTGCTGGTCAAATACTTAGGACTTCCTCTGTCTCTGAAAATTGACCCTCTAAATGCAGGAATTATTTACCATTTCTTTTGCTGACTACTTGAATATAAATTAACACATAGACATTCCCTAGCTGTATCGAGATACACACACACACACACACACACACACACACACACACACACACACGGGAAGTAAAGCCATTTATAATAACAAGCATAGATAGTTTTTAAATATTTAAGTTCTATAGCTTATGAGAATGATACAGTCTTCATCTCCCACAATGTGTTGTAAAGAATTATTTGTTCAGAGTTATAAGCCTGCAACTGCAAAAGAAATACCAAGATACACTTTTTCTCCTTCTCTAAGATCTTCAAAACATCCATTAGTCTCTTGAAGGACAGTCATAAATCCTGCAAATTTAGTTTATCCGAAAGCTACTCTAACAGTTGTCCTTCCCACCAATCATCCTTTATATCAGTCTTTGGTTTGCAGACCTCAGTGTAAACATTCTAGTGTTATGTGACTGAGCATGAAAGTGGGGGAGCTGTGCTTTTCTTGGAGAGTTATTGGATATCCACTCTGCCCTGACTCCCTTTTCAATATTTGAACATAACCTCTGAAGTAACTTTCCCCCTATTTGTCAAATTAGAAGCTTCCTTTTCCCTTCTGGCTTCTCTTCTGGAAAAACACCCAAGTGGGATTACAGAGATGGAAATTTTAGGAGTGGCTCTAGCACTAACTATTAATAGCTGTGTGAGCTTGAGCAAAGCAATTAACCTCTCTGAATCTTTCCTTCCTTGTCTGCAAAATGATCCCAGTAGACTCTATCATTTGTGGGAAGATGCTGTGAAGTACAGTGAGGTGAAAATGCTGCACCCCCTGCCCTTATGAGAATTACGGACTAGTGGGGAGAGATTCAGTGGAAAGCTGTGCTGTGATCCAGATGGAGCTGAGGGTTGGGCAGAGGAAAAAATATTCTTCCTGAGATGGGAGTTCTTTCTAGAAAGCTTTTGTAGAGGAAGTGGGATCATTGGGCTACAAAGGATAAATGGGATTTCCAGAGTTGAGAAAGAGATTTCTAGCCCTGGAACTGAGCCTGATGCAGAGCCTAGATGCAAGAAAAAGCAATATATGCATAGGAAATGGTCATTGGTCCAGAGAGGCTGAGACTGTCCCCTCTTGAAGCCTAAGGATGAAGTATAAAGTTGTATTTCATAAATAAAAATATGAACACCAATAGGTCTTTAAAGACAGTGTAGCTGGAATTTTAAGATGATAAGCTATTCTTCCTGCTGTAGCTCACACTTGGAGATAGAGAGGATGCCACTGGAATTAATATCCCTATGGAAACAAAAGGCTCTGTGACTCCATAAACAATTTTGAAAGTGCTAGTTCATCACCAAAATCCAGGCCACTCATTTTTCAGGTGCCTTGCCTTAGGAGAGAAAGATTTCTTATCCACATCATGGGCTTACATCTCTCAGATCAAATTTTACAGGAAGAGATTGGTCATATATCAGAAGGTTAATGACTAGCCATTTCTCTCCCAGCTCTTTTGTGGCCACCTAGCTACCCAGCAGCAGAGGGCACTGAAAGAGAGTCCAGGTTCACTGTGCCTTTTACCTCCGTCATCCAGAGAGACCCAGCAGGCTTTGACAACAGCCTCTAGAGCTAGGGACTGTTATCATGCCCCTCTTCTTTCATGGGAGACTTCGAGCACCTTGTCCTGTAGAGATCCAATGCCACATCCCACATACACAGTGATTGATCAGTACATTTATTGCACTTTTAGTAGTAAAAATGTATAGAATCCAGTCATCTCTGGAGATCCTGAAATAGTATTTTCCCCTTGATTTAGGGGAAGGTAGAGAGGAAAGATGTGTGCAAAGTATGGCATAAATATAAGAGCTCAAATATCTAATTAGGTGAAACAATCTTAGTTCCCTCTACACATTTGAAGGATTTGCAGCTGTCAGATTGTAGCTCCAATACTTTATTCTCATTGCAAGATGTATCTGAGGATGATTTAGAAAATATGTTTTCTAACTCAAACACCACTCTGATCTCTTTGTAGGATGCTTGAGGATGACCTGAAGTTAAGCAGTGATGAAGATGACCTTGAGCCTGTGAAGACCTTGACCACTCAGTGCACTGCCACTGAGCTCTACCAGGTAAGAAGAGCTTAGGGCTTTGTTTTGGGACTAAGTGGGGAGCAGGAGGAAGTGGAATGGCTTTGACATGCTTTGACATGCACAAACTTCCCCATGCTTTATCTCTGGGCTTTGGAGAGAGGGAAAGAAGCAAAGATGAGCATAGTGTTCTGGAACAAGTCAAACAGCTCAAACTTTCATTAAAGCTATAGTAAGGAGATGTAGAGCTCTTTAAAACTGCTTTCAACCCCCTCCAATCTCTCTCTCTGTTCCATACACAAATGCTGGTCAGTAGTAAGCAATAGAGATTGTCTTACTCTCTCTTGGACTATTTATTGTCCTGGGTGAGGTATAACTTTCGTTTGGTGACTCTGGTGTGAGGCTTGGAGCCCATACTCATTAATTTAGATATAAATGTGATGCTTCATTCACCTTTCCCAGATGCACCATTTCAGAATGCAGCTGAGAATCAATATGCAACATCTTGCCACTTAAATGAACCTTTAGGCAAAAGACATTTGGCAAAAACTTGCTGCTGCCCTTGTCTCCTTCTATTCCACACTTTAAGCATTTACAGTACTTTACCACCAAATGAGATGGCAGAAATGCGTGTTTTCAGCATTTCAATGAGACTGGACTTTATGATTTGAAAAGGCCAAGTATCATTTATGACTCATGAGAATGGCAACCTAGTGTGTGGTGTCAATGATGCTTGCACATTTTCTCTTTGAGGGAGAACTGTCTCGAATGTGAGATCCTTCTGGGTGTGCTTATCACCTCAAATGAGGAATGCAGAAGGATTGCCTTTCTTTAAATCCAGTACCTGATGAAGATCTTCCTACAGTGAACTCTGCTACATTATAAAACAGACTGTTTAAAGGAATGCTTATGCACTGATATTTCAAGAGAGTTAACAAATATGGAATTCCATGTTGATTAAACATTTTATGAGGAAGAGCCTGCAAAGAAAAGCTTAGGAAAAATTATCAAGGTTCAGCTACTCTATTCCCATCTACAGTTGTTTACCACACTAGAACTCCTACCATTCTGGTATACTTTAAAAATCAAATCCATCTTCAAAGTTATGTGGCCAAAACTTTCATCTACATTACTTTCTCCACTTTCTTGTGCTTGAATTTTAATAATATGTAAAAAATAATTGCATCTTTGCAAGTTTAGTGCTTTACCAAGAACAACCACAGGGTAAGTATAGACTACACAGTGCTGGCCTAAGCCAATTTCACAACTCTTTCCCAGGGGCTTGCTGTACATTTGCTGAATGCAAGCTGTCTCCCTCCTACTTGAGTTGGGCTTCATAGCAAATGTAAAATGCACACTTAATTTCCAAAAATTGTCATTTCTGCCTCACACATTTAATACGCCAATGACAGGAGCATCATATTTGTAAGTAAAACAGAAGCAAAAACGAAAACATTCCAGATCATTGATTTTGACAGATAAAAATTGCTTTTTAATCGAAATGTTTGAAGTAGAATTCAATAATAATTGAAAGTAGATTTTGCACATTGACTTCCTCTTCATGTAATTATATGAATGTAATCTGCTTTTTAACTTATAAAGTTATTTTCTGTATTTATCTTAAAATTGGCAAAGGGTCTGTTGACCTGAATCATCTGGGTTTTAGGGTATATTCACTGACTTTTTGTAAGTGCTGAGACTCTCAGATGATCAGGATTGGTGGGTTGGAACCTTTTTGTGACATGCTGCCCCTAGTCATGATGTCTTCCTCAAAAAGGCTTAGATTCTCAGTGAAAATTGGATGGGGAGATTGAACTGGGGGCTCTAAGGTGAGGCAAAATGACAACTTATTCCCTCTAACTGAGTCCGAGGAGCAAGATGTAGGCACAAGGTTATAAACATTTGCAAATGAACCCTCCTTCTAGAGTCTGAAGATTAGTTACAAGACCTGGAAGGCTATAGACCAAAAGAGAATGCTTGTGCAGTAGTGGCAGCAGTAATACTAGCAATGTTTGCAGAGCTCTGCCTTTAGGATGCATAATGTCCTTTTGCAAAAGTAAATGGGTTGACATAATTTTCTCTTTTTTGTGGCAAAATTCACTTAATGTAAAATTAACCATTTTAAAGTGTTCAATTCTGTGACAATACATTCACAAGGTTGTGCATCCATCCTAGTTCCAGAATTTTTCATCACTCCAAGTGGAAACTCCATACCCGTTAAACAGTTACTCCCCATTTCCCCCTCCCCCTAACCCCTTACAACTGCTAATCTACTTTTTGACTCTATGAATTGGTCTGTTTCATGTAACTGGAATCCTATAACATGTGACCTTTTTTGTCTGGCTTCTTTCACTCACCATAATGTTTTCTTGATTCTTCAATGTCATGTATCAGCACTTCATTTTGTTTTATGGCTAAGTAGCATTCCATTGTATGAATAAACCACATTTTCTTTATCTACTCATCATTAGATGGACATTTTTATTGTTTCCAACTTTTGGCTACTGTGAGTAGTGCTATTGTGAAGATTTGTGTACAAGTTTCATATAGACATGTTTTCTTTCTGGTGTGTACCTAGAAGTGGAATTGATGAGTCACACGGTAATTCTACAGTTAACTTATAGAGGAATCATCAAAATAATTTTTAGATAATATAGTGCCATGTAGATAACATAGTACGGTTCACTCGTCTTTGAATTGGGACAGTCATACCTCCAGCACCATCATAAGGAGGAGTATTGAGATTACCATTTTTAGAACCACTCTTGCTCTGTGCCAGGCACAAACTAGGTGTGGTGTCTCACTTGAACCTTACAGCAAACCTTAGCAGTAGGGTCGGGCCTCTTAGCTGAGCAAAAGAATTGCAGAGTCACTCCATTTGTGGCAGAATGATTGGAGAGAAAGCATACAGACTAGTGCACTGGTCTATAAAACTGTGCTCAAGGGCCCAGACAACACTGCTGGTTTCAGCTGACATAATAGAAATGGCTCAGAACCCAGTGGCTGCATTCATGCAGACATAGTCCAATAAAAAAGCCATTTACTTTCTGGAGACGTCCCCAAATCATCTCATCCATAATCATCACACCTTGACTCATTTGACAAAACTCAGATTATCCAGGTGTAGTGAGTATACAGCAATCTTTTTCAAACAGTGTCTAAGAGCTTATACTGTGGGCTTAGAGCATAAACATCCCCAAGAGAATACGTTTCAAATACATGTATGAAAATGAAATACAGGATCAAGTTGTGTCGGCTTCTAAACTGGCATTTGGATACCGAGTATCTTACAATCAGAACAGCCTCCCCTTTTTTGCCACTTCCACCTTCCACAGCAGTATTAGCCATGCTGAGCCAGGTGACAGGTTGTGTGCATAAACACAAGCAGAGCAAGTAGAGTATGTTCAAATGCTAAATATTATTCCCTCAAATGGGAAAATGGAACATGAGTCCAGAATGGGGGAATTATAATATATAAATTAAAGATGCCAAATGGTCAGCCATAGAGACTCATGATCATAAGAAAACATTTTTAACAGAGGATTTTACCTTCGAATGACTCTTTAAAGTAAGAGATATATAATCATACATGTGCATGGCTTCAATGAAGAAGCAATAGTGATTGCAGCCTGAAAATACCTGTTAAAACTTTGCATTTTCTCTCCAGTCCTCTACTGCATTTGACTTTCTTGGTTGGGACTATTTGGATAGCAGACATATCCATGCTGTGTTCTAAGGTGGTGAGACAATGCTGGGACAGTGTAGGAGAGTATGTGAGATTATAGCTATATAGTCACACAGACATGGCTTTGAATTCTAGCTCTGCCACTCTCAAACTGGTTGACCTTGGGCAAAGATCTAAGTACCTACAAAATAGAGGTAAAAATAGGACGTTCTTCATTGGGTCATACTGGGGATTCAACGATTAGGTGAATCAATACAGGCAAAAGCACCTGACACTATGCTTAGCACATGGTAATTACTCACCACTTTAAGTGATAATAATTATCATAATTATGAGTGCTACTAATGATCTAAAAAGCTTCATATTCTTTGAGATGCTACATATGTTTACTTTCTCTTTTCTTGTAAGGAATGGGATGTTAAAGACAGCTGTTGGGTTATCTATCCTGTATATGACAAACTTGAATGAAAATGTTCTGTCATCCTAAAGTTGATTAGCTGTGTGCCTGGCCATGAGTAATTTTAACTGTAGATATTAAGAACATAGCTTTTGGAATAAAGAAGCCTGGGGTTTAATCCCAGGCCTCAAATACTAGCTATATTGCATTGGGAAAGTTGTTTAACATCTCTAAGTCTCATATCTCTTACCAGTAGAGTGGAATAAACCAGCCTTGTCTGCCTCATAGGAGTATTGTAAGGATCAAGTGAAGACAGTGTATAAGAAAATGCTTTGAATTACACAATAGGTGGTTACTCTTCCTTGTGGTCCTTTTAAACATTAACTGGCAGCCCTCTCTTTAGGATCCATAGGGAAATAGACACAGCCCTTCATTTTGGCCTAGGTATCCATAGGGATCTGCTAGGAACTGCGTTGCATGTCTTAACTGGCCCCCAAAGGCAGCCCTTGGATATGAATGACCTTAACTTTCCTCTAAGCCCTGACAACTTTTAAACTAGAGATCCCAGGACGAAAGGTTAGGTTGCCAATGATCTGCACCAAGTCCTCCAGGAAATTATGTGTCTCTAAAAGAGTTTTTCTTCCAATGATTGGCATGGGTGGAGAGTTGATTCATACCCTTCTATTGCGGTTCTTACCGTCTCTTTCTGAGCTCATGTTATGCCCTAGAGAAAGGCTTGAAGGCTCTTCTAGGATGCTGTACTCATCTTGGCTCTCTCTCAGGAGCTATCCCTGAATGGGAGATAAATAACTATTTGAAGTTGACACTGAACTTTGCAAACATCCAGAACAGTGTTGGAATTAGACGTAGTGCTATGCACTTAGTGTCTGAATAAACATATGTGGTGCAAGGTATTTTTTAAGTTTGATATCAATGGCATGGTTGAGATTTGGGGGCCAC